GATAAGCCTTAAAGCAAGTCTTATATACTTTCAAAGACTTAGTATCAGACAGACCATACCATCTGACACTAATGCAATTATATTAGAAATTAACAACAAAACAACTTTAATAAGTATAATTAAATAATATATAAATATATTTATTTATATTTATAGTATATTTATATTATATTTAATAATATAAAACCTATACATTTGGAAACAAAAACACCCCATGAGTCAAAGAAGAAATATGTTGGAAACTAGAAAATATTTAGAACTTAATGATGATGAACGTCTACTTAGGAAAATTTGTGGGATATGTCTAAAGCAGTAAGTACAGGTAACTATCCCAGACCCAGAATGTTTTATAGGCGAGTTCTACCAGTCAATGAACAGATAATTCCAATTTTACACAGAATCCTAGAGAATAGAGGAAATACTCCACAACTCATTTCTTGAGACTAGAATAACCCTACTAATACCAGAATCTGACAAGGACTATACAAGAAAGAAAAATTACAGGCCAATCTCACTCAGGAACAAAGATGCAAAACTCCTAAAGAACATAATAGCAAATCAAATCCAGAAATATACCATAAAAGATAATATATCATAACCAAGTCATGTTTCTTCCAGGAATGAGAGCAAGGTTCAACACTAGAAAATATATTCATTTCAATCATCTTGAGATAGGTGGCTAGGCAGACATGAGCGGGAGATCATACTTGGAAACCTTGCTGCATCAATGAAGCGTCTTGCTGGCATCCTACAAGACGCAGACAAAGGAGAACTGAGACCCGCCTGGGGCCGCCAACGGAGTCTGAGGCCATGAACTGTGACGGTAAAAATAACGGGCGCACAAACAGCACATACAAAGCCTTCTGCTATACACCTCTAGAGGACATTGACATTTCTTTAATTTACATACAAATTCCATATGCATTAGCCCCCCTTCCATGGGGGATGACTGCCATGACAGGTCCGGAGATTCCCCTAGAAGGTCAAGAACTCCCCCTCCCGATGGGTGGGTGGAGGAAAGACCATTACTGGTGGACAACCAGATAATGCTAATTCCCTTCTAAACAGCCCAAATAAAAATAAAACTAACCCAAGACATGGGGCAGATGCGTTCTCTGGCACTGCCCGCTGCTCACTTGGAGTGCATCTGACCTTTCCTCTAATAAATCTTCACTTGCTTGCTGTTGCTGTTGTGTCAGTGTCTGAATTCTTCCCTTACACTGACCAAGAACCTGGGCAATTGGACTCTCCATGACGGTTACAATCTCAATTAAGGCAAAAAAATGCATTCGATCAAATTCTATAACCACTCAATTAAAACTCTTATCAAACTAAGAACAGAAGGGAAAATCCTTAACCTCATAAGTAGCACTTCAAGTTGTGAAGGCCTTCCATGAAGGCTCCTTAAAAGGAGCTAAGTCCCACAAAGGTATACCCTTTTACCTGCCCACGTCTCTGCTGCCTGGAATGGCGACTAGATGGCTGATGCTCCTGCACCTATACTGGCCTATGAGGTGACCTTAAGGCTAGAATCAGATATTGAGCATAAAAGAAGAGAAAGATGGAAGGAATCTGGGTCCCTGATGTCTTAGGGGCACTACCACACAGCCGCATGCTGAATTTGCATGCCTCTGGTCTTCACTGACATGTGAAACTACACCTTTGTGTATTTAAGACACTTTTACTTTTGCAGTCAAACCCCATCTTAACTGCAAGACCAATTCTATTCAAAACAGTACTGGAAGCTCTAACCGGGAAAAAAGGCAAGAAAAAATAAAATATTCAAGAATTGTTGAGAAAACTGTAATTATTCACATATGATCAGAAAATCCAAGAGAATCTTACAGAAAATTATTAGAAATAAGAGTTTAGCAGAATAGCCAAAAACAAGTCAAATGCATTTCTATATACCAGCAACAATCAGTTAAAATCATTAAAGAATTTTTAATACCATTTATAATAGCAAAAAGAACAAGGTAACTAGGAGTAAATCTAACCTAAAAGTCAAAACACTTATGGTAAAAATTATGAAACTTTTTGGAAAGATTCTAAGACGGCCAAAATAGCTCAAGGATAGTAAGAGTTATCAAGATGTTACTTCTCCTGAAACCAATCCAAGGATTCAATGCAATTGTGGTCAAATCCCAACACAGTTTTTCATGGACCTTGACAAGCGAAATTTTACATGGGGCTGCAAAGAGCGGAGAATGACTAAGACATTCCTGAAGAATGAAGCAAGGTAGAAGGACTTGCCCCCCAGACATCAAAAGTCACGAGAAAGCCACAGTATTGAAGAGAGTGGATACTGGTGCTGGGACAGAAAAATAGACCACTGGAAGAGAAGTGAGAGCCCAGGAACAGACCCACACACATACATAACCTTAAGGCCACACTGAAGGTCAGTGGCAAAAAGGTGACATAGTCAATAAATAATGCTGCGACTACTGAAATGAAACCAAAAAAAAAGAAATTGGATCTGACAACATACACAAAAATTCAATTCTAAATGATGGAATACTAAATATGAAAGACAAAACTATTTAAAAAACTTTTAAATACAGAATATCTGTAAGAGCTTGTTTCAAGAAAGGATACTTAAGTGAGATTTTTTTAAATTGGGAGGGAGGGAAGGAAGGAAGGAAGGGCCCAAAAGTGAGAAATGCAGCCTTACTATCCACACTAATGTAAAAAGCTCTCAAAAATCAGTAAGAAAAGAAAAAGCAGCAAAAACCAAAAAATGGTAAATACAAATGGCCATTAAATATTTGAAAAGTTGTTCCACCTTATTACTAATCAGGGAAAGCAAATTAAGACCACAACAAGAAACTTTTTCATATCCATCAAGAGTTGCCAAAAATGTAGATCAGCTGGAACTCTTCTACACTCCTGATAAGAGGATAAATTGGTACCGTTACTTGGGGGAAAATATTTGGTTTTACCAGTAAAACTGAAGATGCACACCCTATGTTCCAGCAATTCTACTGACAGACCTTTGCACAAGCACACCAAGAAAGAGGTACAAGAATATTCACAGTAGCCCTGCATGCAATAGAAAGGAACTGCAAACAATCAAAATGTCAGTCAACAATAGAGCAAAACAGCAGAGTGAAAAGAAGGAACTCCACCCACATGTGTCAACATGGATTAAGCTCAAAAACAAGCAAAAGAAACAAGTCAGAAGATATATGTGGTATGGTTCCATTTATATAAAGGTCAAATCGGCAAAATTAAACAACATGCCATTTAGGAATGCCTACATGTGAGATATAACTATACAGAAAAGCTTAGGGAGCTTAATACAAATTTCAAGACAGTGTTTCCAGCTGGTAGGGAGGTGGACTTAATTGAGGAAGTGCAAACTATTAACTAATAAATTCCCATTTCTTAAACGCGATGAGAGGCCCACAAGGGTTCATTCATTTTCTCTGGAAACTACATATATCAGCTACATATACTCTTCTCTGTGCATTATATATTACATAATAAATTTTAAGTGATTAAAAAAATATCCAAAAAGCTGTTTTAAATCATCCTCCTGCTCATCTCCCTGTTTAAAAAAAAATGCTGTTGGTATGTAAAAGTGGTCTTTTAACTGTAATAAACAATGATATTAGCATCTGGTGCTTTAAGGGCTGCTCTTTAAGAAAACTGCTATCAAAGATATTCACGTGTACCCAACCCTATATAATGCACATCAACTTGTTTTCCAAAGCAGCACTGAATTGCAAAAGATGTTAAGGCTTTATGCAAAAATATAAAATAGATTTTATTGACTTGCACCAATACAACCACTTTTTCATACACCAGCTGATATGCACCCTACATCTCTTAAAGAAACCCTTTAAATTTGTTTTAGCGACAGCAAAATTAAAGGACAAATACATTAAGTGGTAAGTAAACACTGAAGGAGGCTAACTATCATTTAATTATGATACATTAGATTTCCGTCTTAAATTGCCGCGCGTCAAGTCTCAAAAAGGATCTGTGCTTAAGACAACTGCGGGACGAAACTGGAGACTCCAGCTAAGCACCTGAATTTGAACCGCGACAACTCGGTGGCTTTAGGCAAATTCATAAACTCAATTGCCAAAAAATAATATCCCAATAAAAGGTTTTTTCCAATTTCCGCAACACCGTTGGCAGGTATTTTTATGAGCACTCATTTTGGAATATCCCTTGCAGATAAGGCCCGGACAATCAACAGCCATATGACCCAGCGACAGATTCGAGAATCCCCCCAAATCTCGTTGAAACAGGTTATCTTCCACACCTCCAGATCTCCTTTCCAGAGTCCTGGGGTGTGGAGAGCAATTGGGGAAAGATTGCTGGGGAGTTAAGAAGAATCGTGAATCACGGGGACAAAAGTTAGTCAGCTGGGACCTTGCAAAACATGGTCATCTAACCCCCTCATTTTGCGGTTGGGGAAATTATGCCTCAAGGAGAAGCGCACCTGCTTATGATCTAACAGCTGTTTCAATTCGTCTCCTCTCCTAGCCCAGTGGTCCTTCCCCCCCCCCCGACACACACACACCTCCAAATGCTTCAGTTCGCTGCTTACACGGAGGAGGTGAGAAAACCCGCACCTCCGCAGTGCGGCCAGATTGTCAGGGCTATAAAGGGTCGTAGAGGTAATCGGGTCAACCGCTCTTCCTACAGGTGGAGAAACTGAGAATGGAAAGTGACGCAGCTTGGGCGGTAAATCACCCTCTGCACCCAGCAGAAGGAGCCTGACAAAGGTGATGAAGATCACTGGCCACCCCAATTCTCGTCTCCAGGAGGGCAAGCGTCTAAAAACCCCCGATCTCTAGATTTCATTCAGCAAGAATCGCGCGCTTCCCACGCAGAACCGGGAAGAGGGGAGGCGGGGAAACGCGAACAGCCGCTGCGCATCAGTGAGAATGCCGCGGCGGGACCGGCGCCAACTCCCGCCTCTCTTCCGCATCCGTCGGGGGGACAAGGGGAAACAGCAAGGCTGCGGCGCCTCCCGCGAGAAGAGGTACCTGAGGCTCCAGACGCAGTCCCCCGCCGCACCAGCACCGGAGCCCGACACCCTGCTTCCGGGGTCAAGTCGCGGCGTGGAGGCCAGAGATCGCGGGAGGAAGCCCGCCTCCACCGCCCACTTGGCGGAGGACCTGGTCAACTTCCGGGACGCCGCGCGTCACTAAGCAGCCGATCCCCACTTCCGGACGCATCTCTCCCTTCTCCACCCCTTTCCGGGAGACAGCGAGTTCGATCGAGATTTCCGCGCGTTTGATTGGCGGAGCGGGATGCTGCTCTCTGCCGATTGGTGTCGGGGAGATCCGCCCCCTAGACGGCGGCGGGGCGCACATTTCAGACGTCCGCCTGTTTCCCGCCGGCCGTGCGTCTTGCGCCGCAATCATGGTGGACGTGATGGAGTTGCCCAAGTCGCGCATCAATGCCTGCTTGCTAGCTCAGTTCATCGATCGGCCCGTCTGCTTCGTAGGGAAGCTGGAAAAGGTGCGCACGCTTGCCGCCCTGGGCTTCCCGGCCCGTAGCCGGGGGGAGGGACGGGTGACCGCTAGGGTGGCGGCCTCGGGCTGCGTAATGGACGGTGAAGGAGGACAGAAAGGCTTAGAGCATCACTGCTCTTCCGATTGCTTTATTTTGCACAAGGGAACTTTTTGCACTCTTTTTAGCTCTTGCAGGCGCATTTTGGCGCCTCTTTTATGGCGCGAAATCGCGATGTTTTCGAATGCCCTCGGTTCTAAATCCTAGCGCCCCCCACACTCGTTCGGTTTGTATTTACCTAAAGGAAATTATAACCATGACTCCCACATTTACCTTCTGATTTTTCAGTTTAGCCAGACTTGATAGTCGCATTTTCTTATTTCCTTCTCTTCTGCAATTTTGTCTTTTCTCAAACCTCGTTTTCTCTGAAGTCACTTCTCCATAAACGTTCCTTGCTTGTCCCTTCCAGATCTCATAGCAGTGTGTCATCTTACCCCAGTGTTAGAGGGCAGCCCCTTCATCCTGCTGGTGAGAAACATGCCGAAAGCCTCGGAATCAGTGAACCGAGAAAGCTGAGGGAAAAAAATTATATAAAGGCGTATTTAGCAGTTCATTTCAGCCACACGTCCTCTTCATGAAATAGGTGTTATTCCAACTTTACAGGGAAACTGGGTAGGAGGGTTGTATGGTTAAAATGCTCAAGGCCAGAGCAAGTAGCAAGGCTGGCATTCCAACCAGATCTGACTGCCCACTCTGCAGATGCCTTACAGGAGTAGACCCAGATCTTCTGACAACCAGTTCTTTCTTTACTTCATCATGCCTAATTTTTGAAACATACCCTTGGTGGGATATGTACAGTTTAAATCATGAGTGCCAGTAGATCTCACTTTTAGATAGTATGGACTTCCTTTAATTTGTTCTTAGCATAGGGTTGCCAGATTTAGGAAATAAAAATACAGGACATATTTGTGCTAAAAAAAAGTATTGTTGATCTGAAATTCAAATTTAACTGGGTGTCATTGGACCAGATATGGTAACACAAGATTATAATTGGAACCAAATAAACTGTTCAAAAACAATTGCTTGTACATTGTCAGTCTACTCATCTCGTGTCAAACTTTTAATATTTTTATTTTAATGAAATTTTAAAGGTTTTGTTGATGTGGGATTTTTTTTTTTAATCATGTGCTTCTTTTTTAGATTCATCCCACTGGAAAAATGTTTATTCTTTCAGATGGAGAAGGAAAAAATGTAACCATTGAGTTGATGGAAGCTGTATGTTTAAGTATTAATTCTGTGTATTTATAGTTAATTCTTCATCTTGGTTTTGTTTGTTGATGTTTCTGATTCTTGGAGTGGATGTATAAAGGACCAGCTTATAAAACTTCCCTGGCTCTAAAATTAAATTGTTTTCCTCTTACATTATATTTCCCTTTATATATTTTTTTTATAATTTTATTTATTTATTTTTCCCCCAAAGCCCCAGTAGATAGTTGTATGTCATAGCTGCACATCCTTCTAGTTGCTGTATGTGGGACGCGGCCTCAGCATGGCTGGAGAAGCGGTGCGTTGGTGCACGCCTGGGAGCTGAACCCTGGGCCGCCAGCAGCGGAGCGCACACACTTAACCGCTAAGCCATGGGGCCGGCCCTCCCTTTATATTTTTAACCAATGATTCTTGGGCTCTGTGATTTTTAATGCATCCCTTAAATGCTGGGTGGCAATCCTCATTCCTTATGAAAGACCATAAAATCACATAAGAAAAATCTTCCATTTAAATCACTTTTTCCTTCTTGGAGGGTTTTACATTTTTTAATTCTATTTTCTATTTTTGTTTACGTATATTTTCAATTGCCACTTATTTGTTTTTACATTTTATGTTTGTTGTACTTAAAAACATTTTCTTGGTCTTTTATGAAGACAAATCCGTGTGCTGTGTATGTATTAATGTATACAGGACACACTATGCAAGAGATAGATTTCAATGGGTCCTTTTAAACAAATTACTCCTTATAGAAATACCGGACATTCTCTGTCTTTAAGTAATTTTGTCTTCAACTTAAATGTTTAACTGTATCTTTGGACCTGAAACTACTGCTAACGGTAACAGTACTTGTGACATGCTGACAGTAAGGACTCAAACATTTCTTAACACATTACAATTCAAATTTAGCATTGGTAAATCTTTTAATTATTTTGTTACATGAAATGAAAGATTAATAAACTGTATAACAATTTTCCAAGTTAATTATTATCTAAAGATGTGATGACACCAGGTTGATATTTTGTTCTTTGTGTTAGCTTGATGAAGAAATCTCTGGAATTGTGGAAGTAGTGGGAAGAGTAACGGCCAAGGCAACCATTATGTGTGCATCTTATGTCCAGTTTAAAGAAGAAAACCATCCTTTTGGTAAATAAAGCATTCTAGTGTTTAGTAGTTTCATGTAATTAGGAGGAAAACAATTTTATTCTTAACCTGATATATGTTAGTCTTGAGTCTCAGTCCTACCACATTTTCAATTTCTATAGAATTTTCTGATCTCAAAGGAAAATGGGAGGACATTTTGGCCTGCTTCTAAGTAGTGCTTGTATATGTAGGGAACTCAAAGATTAATTAATATTTGTGGAAAGAGAAATTTTTAAAATAGGGCAAACAAAAATAATGTTAATAGTTTTGTTTTGTTTTAATATATGGATTGAAGGCATCAAATAATGCATAACACCTAAAACACAACAAGGGAAGAAACTTGCCTGTATAATGGATGTCAAAGTGGATGGCCTCCTGTACTCCATGGTTATTTTTTTGGAGCCACAGTTAAATAAATATGACATCCATATCTCAGTTTTAGAAGATGGATTGTGAAAATAAGTTGACCTCTAAAAGGGAGAGAAGAGAGAAACAGGTAGAAATCTTTCAGATAATAATTGCTGTTACAACTTTCCACTGTAGAGTAAATGTTTGCTAAAATGTTTCTTTCAGATCTTGGACTTTACAACGAAGCTGTGAAAATTATCCATGAGTTCCCTCAGTTTTTTCCTTTGGGGGTTATGCCATATAATTGATCTTGAGGAATGTTTTATGATTACAAATGGGCTACATTGAAGACTATAAAAGGAGGACCCTGATATTTGAGAGAGAGATTTCTGTGGTTTTTAATATTTAATTTGTTCTTTTTTTAATTTCATTTAGCTAACTTTATTAAATATTCCAATATGCCATTTTTGATGGAACTGGTATATTGACAGTTCTCACCTAAGTCTTCATGAAGAATCGCTTCTCCAGTGTATGGTCAGATCAGATGTAAGAACAAAGCAGTTGTCTGAGTTTTGTTTTCTGTTTTATTAATAAAAGTTTAAATGGTACATACTATTGGTCATTTCATTCTTATTCTTTTGGTCATGTATTCAAGCACAAACTTGGAATTTCATAGCTGTAAGGTCAGGACTTAGACTTACCAGTTGAAACCCTGGGCCAACTGTTTTAAGAATTCACTTGCTATCTCATGAACTACACCATGTTAATTACTTCCTTGACACTCAGTGAAAAAATGACTGATTTTGATTTATGAAAAGAGCAAACAGAATCCTACATCTTCTGTAATTTGTGAGTACCTGTATTAGGGTTTTCCAGAGAATCAGAACCAATAGGATATATATAGATAGATGTAAGAGGAGATTTGTTATAGGAATTGGCTTACGTGGTTATGGAGGCCAAGAAGTCCCATGATCTCCCATCTGCAAGCTAGAGAACCAGGAAAGCCAGTGGAGTAAGACAGTTCAAGTCCAAAGGCCTGAGAATCAAGGGAGCTGATGGTGTAACTTGCAGTCTGGAGTCGAAGACCTGAGAACTGGGAGGCCACTGGTGTAAGTCCCAGAGTCTGAAGGCCTGAGAACCTGGAGCTCCAATGTCTGACGACAGAAGATGGACATCCCAGCTCAAGAAGAGAGCAAATTCACCCTCCACCTTTTTGTTCTATTTGGGCTCTCAGTGGCTTGGATAATGCCCACCTACTTTGGTGAGGGCCATCTTCTTTACTCAGTCTACTGATTCAGATGCTAATCTTTCCGAAACACCCTCACAGACACACCCAGTAGTAACAATTTTTACCAGCTATCTGGGCATCCCTTAGACTAGTCAAATTGACATCACGGTAAAATTAAATTAACCATCACGGTACCACTTTCTTGGGATATTACAACTGAGCATTACTAGTGCCAAATAAGGGATACTTGATCATTAAAATCCTTGGTGGAATCATTTGATTTTTTTTTTTTTCTTCCTTTCAATTGTTATTATCCTTAGTATGAAATTCCTGTTTACTTGTACTTCATACCACCAAGTAACATTGGGGCTGAGCAGGTAGAGTTGTGGCAAGTGTAGGTGAGATTAATGCAGAATACCTGTGGTGACCTATATGGCCAGTCAGGTTTTATGGCTTGACCCATTCTCTTCAGTGAGGAAATTAACTCTAAATCCATTTAGATTGTAAATTATACCAAAAATATTTATTTTAAATTGCTATCATCTTTAATTTCAACTTTCATCCCAAAATATTCTACAAATTACTTAAGAAACATGGACATAGCCACTTATGGTAAAGCATTTTATTATAGGAAGTAAA